TCTCAACGTGTCTCTTTGGAGCTCTCATGAGTGTCCCTATTTTGCGTCTTTTCTGTTTGAATTTTGGGGTTTGGTTGCGAGAATTTTATAACATTTCTCGACGACGTCATTCATGTTTGGCATAAAGTTTTTGAAAAAAATTATGAGAATCCTATAATTGTTTTTGTAAAATATCATCAAAACGGTGATATATTTTGAATCCCTGATGTTGAGAAAATTTTACAATTTTTTTTAGGATAAAATTTAAATAATATTTTCTCTATTAAATAACTTTTTAATAACATTACTAAAAAAATACTTTCTTACCATATTTTTTAAAATCATAACGCACGGTGACTTTTTCCGTTGCAGAATTTAAGACAAGGCAATTCTCAGAAAATTGATTCGGCTCATTATTGAATCTTATGAAAATCTACTAAAGATAAAATATGAAATTGTAATGTCATCTTTCTTTATAAAAAAAAATTGTGTCATTTTAAATAATATAAAGGAAAAATTTTATTTTCATCCCGTGTGACTTATGTGTGTATCATTTAGTTCCATTATGTGTCATTTAAATTTCTGAATGACTAAAATACCTTTATAAAATATCAAAAATACTCTTAATAAATAAAATATTAAACTAAAAATAAAATATCAAAATTATCCCTAATTAGAATTAATACTCTAAAAATAAAAAATAAATCATATCTTTTTCCATTCTAATTTTGCAGGAGGAGTTGTATGTTTTTCGGCATCCGTTTCTCCTTGTGCCCTACACTTTGTGGTATACACATTGTCCATGCGCGATTTTTTTTGTTTATTATATTTTCTTTGTCACTTTTATTTTATTTTATCATTGTAAGGTGTTAGCCTCCTATCTGATGTCATGTTCTCCTCTTATTTTATATGGTTTAAAACCAGTTACAGATAAATGGCTGAATACTATATCATATAAATGCTATAACACTTTGGTTCAAAATCCTTGGCTGAATTATTTTCTTGGAAGAAAGTATGCAGAAGTGTATCACTAGTAACTGCATTTGGAGAACTACTGGTCCTCTATCTGCATTTTCGGAAAAGATTTCCTTGCTTCGTCAAGACTACAACATCTGCGTTTATATATATGTCTCTAAACTTGTACAACAAAGCAAGCTTGAGCTAAATAAAAATTGTCGGAGAAGATTAAGATAAAGATAAAATATAAAGATCGTCAGGTTGGAACCATTCGTCGAGGTAGAATATAAAGATCTAAATATCAATTTGAGAGAACAACGATCTGGCGCCATTGACTAGCAAAGTTTCTAAAGTTTAATAAAATAAAGATAAAATATATTAAGATTTTATTTTAATTAAGGATATTTTTTATAATTCATCTTTAATTTAGTGTTTTGTTTGCCATGATTGTTTTTGACATTTTATATTATGAGGGTATTTTAGTCATTCGGGTTAAATGACACATAATGAAACCACAATGGATATAAGTGATAATTTTTAAACCACAAGGGGCTAAATGATACACTCACAAACTACAATGGGTGAAATTGAAGTTTTTCCTAATATAAATTATGTTATTTTATAGACATAAAAAATATAAATTACACTTTTATTTTATTTTTTGTCTTTATTTTTTCAATAGGACTCACATTTTTATGTCTATAAAATAACACAACTTATATCATTTAAAAAATTAGAAAAATATTTTTGCAGTTAATACAGATAAATTATCTGCATTACTTCCAAAATGATGTCGTTTTAAGATTAAAAAATTTGAAAATTATAATTACAAAGACTATAATAACCCTGAAATAAATTAAAATTACAAAAATACCATGATTTCCGCCTCAAAATGACGTCGTATTGGACTTATTGCAGATAATTTATCTATAGTAACTGCAGAAAAGACGAACCCTTACAAAATACACTATTTTCCTTCTTCAAATATAAATTGTACTTAATTTAAACTATCTTTTTAAGTACTTTTAAGGTTTTACTTTTGCAATGATTTAAATTTTGTAATGATTTAAGCATTGACTTTGAAGTTTATTTATGATAACTAAAAGGTAATATAAAAATTATCAAAAAAAAAACCCTTAAATATAATTCTTCCACATGCCTTGTTACTTCCATTGTTCAAACTTACAATGCACCGATACTTCAAAAAATTTAACGTGTTGTGTCTAATACTTTTCGATACTCCGACATTCTAACACGTGTTGTAAAGACTCAAAAAAGATTCAAAGGTTGCATTGCATTATGTTGCGTTTTTAGTTTCAACTATTAGATTCGTTGGATTATACGAGTACTATTTTATTGAGTTTAATAAAAATATTTGTGATATCTTATGTTTCTTTACAAAATTAATTAGTATTATAAGTTTAGCTTCATTTTTTATTAAATTATTAAATATTAAATATAATATACACTACATAAATTAAAAATATTATTTAAAATCTAAATATATCCTAACGTGTCAAAATTCAATATTTTTTAAAATTAACATATCAGAGTTTCGTAACATGTCGTCTCCCGTGTCACGCGGTCCAATATATATAGGTGAGTTTTTTGTTCTCACTATTACAAACTTACATTTGACTCGAAATGAAAATCTCTGTTCAAAACTAATTTTTCCATGATTTTTCCTACAAGTTGTTGCATCAATTTTTCAGTATTATAAAATTTTTAACATCTAAATGCATTATTTTCGTGCTTGGTGTAATGAGTTATGTACATATTTTGCCATTGTGGAAAAAAGTAAACTTGGAAATATGACATGTTTAGTAGAAGTTTTTTAAAAATTAATCTTTAACATTTTTAATATATTATTTGATTTTTATTTTCATAACGAGGAATGTGTATATTCTTTCCCAAGAAAATAAAAGTAATATTATAAACATTAACTTTTACTTTCATTTCTTTATCCCATCATTTGAATTTTAGAATATTATTTTTCAAAATATTAAATACTGACCAAATATGTTTTTAAATTTACCAAAAAAATGATATTCTACCTACAATATTTTAAAAATACCATTTTTAAAATATAATTATAGATTCTATTTCTCTTTATGTTATTGGAAATAAGTATCTTTTATCATAGATATATAATATGGTGGAGCCCATTATCCATTAAAAAAATAAATAATGGCACAACTTTTTATATAAAAAAAGCATAAGATAGTTATTTTTATGGGTTTTATAATTCTCGTTCAATATGAGAATTGAAATTTTTCTACACACCATTCGATTTTTCGTGCTGAGATGAGTTCTACACATAACTTTTTCTAACGTATAGGTCTTGCGTGCTTTTTGTAGAATTATAAAACCCTATTTGTATACAAGACAATGATTCCCCCCTATTTATATGGAAAATACTTTTCTTATGTTGTAGGAAAGTAGATACCTCATATTGTAGAAATAAAGTTGCAAGTTAGACCTACATGCTCAGATACCCGGACACGCCATTTTTCAAAAAAAAAATGCGTGTCGGACACGGATATGCTCTGACACGTTCCGACACGCGGTCAACATTTTAGGACACATGGTCAACTCTCCGACACGCAGTCAACTTTTTCAGACACGTGGTCAACGCTCTAACACGTTTTTTTTTTATTAACTAAAAATAAAAAAATCATTTATTAATCAATTTTTTTCTGTTATGAAATTTGACATAAAAATTTAACAAGGTACGAAAAATTATTATTTTTTATATTTATGTTATGAAATTTGAATATTTGATTGGTTATATGACTTACTATGAATTGTTATATGTATTAAATATAAATTATATTATATATATTAAAAATATTATTTAATATCAAAACATGTTCCAACATGTCGAAATATGCCATTTTATAGAATAACGTGTCGGCGTGTCGTGTCTCGTGTCAGTGTCTGTGCATTATAGCCCACATGTAAGAGAAGAGAGAAAAAATAATGGTGAGATTCACCCCTCTTTTAGAGCAAACTTTGAGTACTACCCTCGTAGGTAGTACCGTTCCCAAATTAGAAAGCAATAGGGGTATAAATGGAAATGGATAAAAAATAAGGGATTAAAATGGAATAAAAATTTTCTATTTTAGTAAAATGATGTACCCAACTTGATACACTGTAGTATTTAAATTTTTCTTTTCTCTTTATGTGTAGAAAAATTGTTTATATCATGTAAAATGAGATAAATATAACGCTAATTATATACCTTCAAACATACACGGATACACCGCTAAACTGAAGATAGTGGTGCCAAACCCACGAAAAAAGCAACAGTAGAAAGGTGCCAAAATAAGAGGTAAAGGTGGAATCTTTAACATCCTTTGAATGTTGTTGTAGGTATGCTTGGTTTTTCTAGACTCTTCCCCCCGGTCCACTCTCTATCTTTGGTCTAGTTATGCATACCAAATTTCGTAAGATTTTCCCCCTGTCTGGTTTCCTTAGCTCCGAAGGAAATGACCACTTACAAGCCAAACACCAAAGCTTCAATTCAATCAACAAATTTCCTATTCTGCACTTTTCTTAAATTTTAATTTCTACTTTCCACTATATGTCCCACAAAAACCTTAAAGAAATTAAATATTATTTCTTTCTTTAAAGTATTTGTATGATTATATCCTATTGTTGGCAGCTAGCTACAAAAAAAGTGCCAATAAATAAAATCACTAATGAAATAACAAGTGATTGTTGTAGCAGACAAAACTAATTGATAAACCTTTGTATTGTTATTTATTTTACTAAATTGATATAACTTGTTCCATACACAGATGAAAAGAATATTAATTCTTCACTACCCATTAAAGCCATAAGCTTCCTAAAAAGAGTGTCTTCGGAATACATTAATGCAGAGTTATCTTAGCAGGATTGAAATATCTCCTGCAAAAGCAAAGAATCAAAAAAGATACTGAATTTTATTAACTGTAAAAAATCTATTTCGTGAAGAGAAAAAAGAAGAAGAAAAAGTATGGTAGTTGAACATGAAGAGACCTTGTCCAATTTGTGTACATAGTGAAACAAAATGGAAGAAATAATCATTTTGATTTAGAGGTGCATCGTGAGGGAATGTAACTCCCATTCAAGGGGTGAAATTTAAGAGTACACTCCAGATTGTCCCAGAACTTAACAGAACCTAAAGGTCCTATTCTCCACCGTGTATACGCGTTTCCCTTCAAGTCAAAGCCTATGATATTTCGCTTCCAAGATTGATCCACTCCCTCCATTTGATCAGGAGTTAAGGGTATAGAGGAGGCCTGAACAACATAATTAAGGTACTTTGAACTGTTCTTGGGAACATCAAAGGGTTCAGCAACCATCACAGCAATGCCTTGGCCTTGGTAGCTAAGGTTGAACCTTACATTAGTAAAAGTTGCATGAGCCTTTGCATTTCCATTCTGTGCTCTCACGAGAATGGAGATCTGGGTTTGGAGCAAACCAGCATAGTCATTTCTGAGAAGGTCTAGATGAGCATAGGTGATGCTGATGATAGGGACCCTAGGGTGTAAGACCAAGAAACCAATGAACACTACTATGCCTGCAATGACCACACCTATGGCTATGATTGTGCAGAGAATAGCAGCAAGCCAGATTAAGGGGTGTGTGCTACCACTCTGATGAGTGACTAGTCTTTTTCTATGCCGCTTGGGGGTTTGAGTCTCTGCACCTTGGTGGTGATGTTGAAGGGGGTGGGGGTTTCCATGGTCAGTGTGGGACGGCATGGAATGGAGATTGATGCACAAAATTAAGCCATGTTGTGTAATTGTGAGTTTTATGTTTGTGGGGTAATACTTGGTTGGGTTTGGCTACCTTAGCCAGGTAGGGAACTGCACAAAAATTTGGTTCTTTATCTCTAATTGGTGGGAAGGTTTTGGTATCTTCCTTTCCTAGCTTTAAAGCATATGTCGTAGCTTGTGCTAATTTTTAATCATTTGTTGCATATTATACGCTTCTCTCCATTAAGGTATCTTGGCTTGGCTACTATTTTAATCCTAAAGAGTAAGCAAACTGATTTTTATACATTAGATTTTTTCTTACACCTATACTTGGTTTAGAAAGAAAAATAAAAAAAAAGAGGTTGTTGTCTATAGATAAAATACCAAACTTGCAAAAAAAATGATAAAATTATTTAGTAATGTAAATATCAGTGTACAAAAAAGTGAATACCAAACTTGCATCACCAAATACCAAGTTACAAAACACTTTTCTTTGCCGATTTCCTGGCTTTAAAGCTTTAATCGCGAATGCGTTTGTAGTTGGAGGGAAAGTCATCAGTTAATACATTTTCACTTGCTGAGTTGATTTATTGATATTTTAATAAACCATAAAATATTTATGCATTGTTATTATTGTTACATTCAATGAATTGTAATAAATAATTTAAGGAAAAACTATTCTTGTGCAACATAAGAGTAATGTTATCTCCAATAGATCCATCGAAAATCGTGACACTCTTTTTTATTTTTTTATAAATGATATGTGTGTCTACAACATGAAGGATCTTCTCTCATGTAACATCATATTATATGAACCCAATATTTAATTCATTAAAGATAGCCAATACTTTATTAAAAAAATGGTAGCCTGAATTCCGTTTCTGTCCTTGACATTAATAAAGCATGACACAGCCTCATCAGTTATTACATTTTCACTTCCGGGCCTGCAGAGAGAAAAATGATGGGAGATTGAGAGTGATGATCGTAAATGGGCCTCTTTCGTTCGGAAGACAAAGTATGGCCTAAATTAGTTTCAGGCCCAAACTAGTGGGCCTCTTTCGTTCGGTTGACCCAAGTAGTTGCAGGGCCAAATTTGCTAATAGAAATGTGTAAGTTAGGTTTGGTTTGAATTGAATTGAATTGATTTTTAAAATCAGAAAAAAAAAAAAAATATAATATAATTAAAAAAATTGATTTTTCATATTTTTTCAGTTTTCGTTATATTTGATCCGTTTATAAATAGTCGTACTAACTTTTCATTATATATTTATGAAATTAAAATATTTGAGTTTAATAAAAAAAATTCTTTTTGAAAGGCACATGGATTAGATTCTCTCTTTTTTTTAAATAAAAATAAAATCAGTTTAGACCTGGAGCTTGCTATTAGTTGCTGCTGTTCTCTCTCGTATCATATTGCAAAGTACTTGTGGTTTTTCCTTTAATAATAGATGGAAAAAGTGTGTATCAATTTAATAGATGTAAAGTTATGTCATTTTATGTGAGAGAAAGAGATAGATAAATGAGGAAAGAGAGTGGACAAAAAAATATAAAGGTGTGGGTCTCACCTCTTTGTGAGAGTGAAAAGATATAAGTTGTGTCATTTAAAAGGATAAACACTTTTCCCATAATAGATATGTGTAATAATATTTTTTAAAAGTGTGTTGTTTATAAAAAATGATTAATGTTTCTCATGTGAGATAATTTTATCTCTTATATATACATAAAAGTATATGAGGTCCATTTTTCTTCTATTCTTTTTACACGGTCTTATATATTTTTATATGTGTGTAGGAGATAAAATTCTTTTGAGAAACATTTATCCATTTATAAAATATATAAACAATGAAGTGTCTACTCTTAATTTATTTTAAAGAAAAATTATATTCTTAATTTATTTGAATTTAAAAATAAATACACCATTATTTACAGACTTTTGATAGATTATTTTTACATGATTTTAAGACAAGAAAGGTTTGTCAAATTTTAAACTGATTTTAACCAATCTCAGTTAGGCTCTGGTACTAAAGCCAAACCCAGCCCAAAAGGACCAAAGCCCACAAGACACGGACCCGTAAAACTAAAACCGGAAAGGGTTATCAGCAAACCAACCCAAAGGCCCACTACGAACCATAAAAAAACCTTTATCTGTTGCCAAAACATCCAAAAGCAACGGTAAAAAGGTTTTTGTATCAGGTACCAGTGTGACAACCATGGGGGAGCTTGGTGGATCTGAACCAAAAGGAGAGGACAAAGAAAATGTCAATCCAAAGGATCAGCCTCCTGATGCTCTGGAAATAATGAGAAGATTCTCCCAATCCCAGGAAGGGAAAGAATTCGATGTTAAGCTGCTTACCATGAGTGGTACTGAAGTGTTCTCTGAAATCAGGCAATGACTCTCTTGCTGTGTATTTCTTTCCGTAAAATATCTGTTTTAATGATTGTGTGCAGCTGGAATGTGAGGGGAGCAGGGAAGAAAGGTCTGGCCCCACTTATTAAAGATTTAACCAAAAGATTCAGAATTAAGGTTCTTTGTCTAATGGAGACTTGTGTTAGTGGAGATAAAGCAAAACGTTGCATTGCTAAATTGGGTTTTAATAACCACTTTATTCAAGAAGCAGTGGGATTCTCTGGGGGACTGTGGTTGTTATGGAATGAGGAAGATGTAAATATTCAAATAATTAATACACACCACCAGTTTATCCACACATCCTTGGCTTTGAAGGAGTCAAGGAAGGTTGAACTTATTTCGTTCATTTATGCTAGTCCTAGAGCAATTGAAAGAAGACCTCTATGGGATAGCCTTTAAAATATAAACATCAACGACAATGGTGCTTGGATAACAATGGGAGACTTCAACGCATACCTGCTGAAAGATGAAAAAAAAGGAAGGGCTCATCCGAATTGGAACTCGATGAGGGACTTCCAAACCTGTCTGGAGGAATGCAATCTCTTTGATATTGGTTTTAAAGGGCCAAATCATACGTGGAAGAGAGGCATGCTATACGAAAGACTGGACAGAGCTTGTAGTAATGACAAATGGAATCTTCGCTTCCCTAATAGATTCCTTAATCATATTCCTTTCTATAGCTCAGATCATAGACCCATCATCCTACTTAATGGTTGTCCCCCTCGTGGATCTAATAGCAATCGGCCATTTCGCTTCATGGCATCGTGGCTGACTTGCAACTATTTCCATAATGTAATAGATAACTACTGGGGTGGAGAAGCTGTCTGGAAACCTGCCTCTGTGAAGTTCCAAAATGAGGCTCAGAACTGGCACAAAAACTCTTATAAGGAAGCAAATAAGAAGAAATACAGCATCCATGCGAGACTCAATAGGATTGATGATATGATGAGTCGAGTTCATGATCCAGACTTAGAAGATATCCAGAGACACCTGTGGAACGATTTGAATGAAATTTATCTTCGTGAAGAGATCCTCTGGTTTCAAAGATCTAGGTGTAATTGGCTGATGTTTGGGGATAGAAATTCGAAATTCTTCCACTCTACTACAATTGCGAGGAGAAGAGTTAACAGAATTGATTGTTTGAAAAATGAGAATGATGAATGGATAGGTGATCCAAGCCTCTTGAGCAGCATGATAACAAATTATTTTGAGGTACTCTACAGTGAAGAAGCTGGCAGCAAACCCAGATTCCCTATGAACGGTATGTTTCCCCCTCTCAGAAACCAGAGTCTGAGGTTGATCAATGTTATACCTTCTGTGGAGGAAATCAAGCAGGTGGTCTTCCAATTTAGAGCCTTTAAATCTCCAGGTTCGGATGGTCTTAATGCTCTTTTCTTCCAAACTCAATGGAACAAGGTGGGGAAGGCTGTCTGTGATGTAGTCATGGAAGCGTTTCTGAACCCTGCAAGTGTGGCATCAATCAATCAAACTCTCTTATGTCTGATTCCTAAAGTGGAATGCCCTGAATCAGTGAGACAACTGAGACCTATAAGTTTATGCAATGTGATATACAAAACTGTTACCAAGTTGGTTTCCAATAAATTGAGGAATCATATGAATCACTTGGTGATGCCTAACCAGTGTAGCTTTGTTAGAGGAAGACATAACTCAGATAACATTATCATTTCTCAATAAGTCTTCCATTTCATGAGAGCCAAAAAAGGGAAGAAAGGCTGGATGGCCATCAAGGTGGATTTGGAAAAAGCTTATGACAAACTTGGCTGGGATTTCATCGAGGATACCCTGAAGGAAATTAAGCTTCCTGATGATCTCATAAAATTAATCATGAACTGTGTATCAACAGCTTCCGTGAATGTTTTGTGGAATGGAGCCACTACTAGGGAATTCAAGCCAACAAGAGGGGTGAGACAAGGTGATCCTATATCACCCTATCTGTTTATTCTGTGTATTGAGCGTTTGGCTCATCTTATCAACCTGGTTGTCGACCAAGGAGATTGGAAACAAGTGAGACTAAGGAAAAATGGCCCTTATCTATCCCACTTATTCTTTGCAGATGATCTTCTTCTGTTTGGAGAAGCCTCAATGAAGCAAGCTCAAGTCATGAAACACATTTTGAAGTGCTTCTGTGATTCCTCAGGCCAAAAGGTTAGTTCTGAAAAAACTCGTGTGCTATTTTCTAGGAATGTTAACCATAATCATGCCATGGAATTAAGCAATGAGCTAGGATTTGGCCTAACTGGTGACCTGGGGAAATACCTAGGAGTTAATCTCCATCACAAAAGGGTAACCAAAGGAATTTTCAACCATATTATGGTGAGAGTGAACAGGAAGACGGGAGCTTGGAAGAAAAGATCTTTGTCCTTCGCGGGTAGGAATGTTCTTGCTCAGTCAGTCTTATCGGCCCTTCCTATGCTATGCAAACTAGCCTCATCCCTCTAGGCACTTGTGATGAAATTGAAAAGACTATCCGAGGATTTGTATGGAACTCCAGTGGAAAAGGTACCAGCCCTCATAATGTCAACTGGTCGAAAGTGTGTTATCCGAAGGACATGGGAGGTTTGGGAATCAAGTCTATGAGAGAATCAAATAAAGCCTTCTTAATGAAAGTCGGCTTTGGCATTCTAACTAAAAAGGACACCCTCTGGGTGCAAATTCTGAGAAATAAATACAACATCAGTAATGATCCAATTCGTGATCTGAAAGCATCTACAAATGGTTCAAACCTGTGGAAAGGAATGATAAAAGTTTGGCCTGATGTCAAAAAATATTCTAGAGTCCTAGTCGGTAATGGAGAAAACACCAGATTCTGGCTGGATAATTGGTTACCGAATACTGGGTGCATCAAGGACTTGGCTCTTGAAGAAATCCCTGATCAAGTGCTTCAGTATAGTGTTGCGGATTATGTCACTCCTCAAGGCTCATGGGATTGGCAGAGAATCTCAACCATTGTTACCCCTGATATTAAGAAGGTCATTGCTATCATCCTTCATGCAAATCAAGAGAATGGTGAAGACAAGATTTGCTGGACAAAAACCAGTGATGGGTGTTTATCTGTGAAATCGGCTTATAAAGCGTTTAAAATTTTTAAGGATGATCAGACGAGGATAAACTGGAAATCCATATGGAAATGGGATGGGCCAAGTAGAATCAAGACATTCCTCTGGTTTCTTGCTGGTGACAAGCTAATGACAAACCAGCAACGCTTTGTTAGACATTTCACTGATTCTAATATTTTCCCCCGTTGCCAATCTCAGCAAGAAAACTCCTCGCATCCTATTAGAGACTGTGTTTGGTCCCAAGCTGTGTGGAAAACCATGATTTATCCAAGTAAATGGCCTTCTTTCTTCTCGAATGCGCATGTAGATTGGTTAAATGGAAACCTGCAATCGAAGGGGACTGGGGTTGGAAACAGAAACTGGAGTCTACTATTTGGTGTGACTTGCTGGTGCTTATGGAAGGAAAGAAATGACTTTGTTTTTAATAGGGTACACCCGAATACCCAGGGAAACATAAGAATTATCCTCGGGTATTATGAAAACTATATATCTGCAAAAGATATTCTGGTGAAAGGTGGCCTCCAGCAAATTTCAGGCCCTCCCCCAGCTGCTACTTGGATTCCTCCTCTCGCGGGCTGGATGAAGATGAATGTTGATGGAGCAAGCTCAAAGGACAACTTAAAGTCTGGGTGTGGTGGTGCACTAAGAGACTGTGAAGGGGACTGGATAGTGGGTTTTACTAAAAATCTGGGACATGAAAATGCTTTTAAAGCAGAACTTTGGAGCTTCCTTGTGGGACTCAATGTGGCTTGGGAGCAAGGCTGCCGTAACCTCCTCATTTAAGGGGACTCCACTCAAGTCCTAAAATTTATAGAAGAGGAGGAACAACTAAGCCACCCTTTAGCCCAGATTGGAAGGAAAATTCGGGAGCTTCTTGAGAGGAATTGGAATGTGCAGATGAAGCATACATTAAGAGAGGGAAACGCGGTGGCTGATTGGTTAGCCCACCAAGATACACCTATTGAAGGATCTGTTCAGTTGTTTCTGACCCCTCCTGTGAGGTGCAGTATTTTGCTTTGTAAAGACAATTTGAATATTGAATCAACTAGTGTAACCAACTAGTTTTCTGGTTATGCTGAGAATTTCAAAAAAAAATAAAAAAAATAACGTGACCATGAGTCAAGAATATATCCGCTTATATCTTATTTAATATATGATAGGGGTCATATTATAACATTATAATTTTATAAAACTGAATTGATAATAATAAAAAAATTTAAAAAATATTAAAATAGATATTTATAAAATTTTATTAATAATTTATTTTTATATAGTTATAATTTTTTCACCATAACTTCAAATAAAAAATATGAGAATTCATGAAGCTGAGTCGTGTCATGTGGAGCAGCTCCCAAATCATTGCTATGCCCGTTATTATAAATTTATAACAGACGTTCGCATCTTAAATTTTGTCATGATATGTGAAAGTTCTGATATTAATATAAGATTTCATTCAATAAAAAATAACATTTTAAAAGAATGTGTTGATAGCAAACTTATAATATACACGTGTCGGCCCAAACTATGTAATAAATAATAAATTCCAATCCGTACAAAAAACCCCAAGATTTTTATGATGACTTGTTGGAAAAAAGGGTGGTTTTATTCAAATTGAGTTCCAGATGGACGAGACAGGTTCTTAACTGGTGGCATGAGACAAAAACAACACAATCACTGTAAAACTCCATATTTTTTTGTGGCTGACGATGACCCTTTTCAGACAGATACATGAACACACCCTCAACGTTGATTTCGCATCCCCCATTTCTTTCTCTCTCTCTTTCTCTTCCTAACTCCTACTCTGTCTTAGCCACTAACTGCTTCACTTTTTCGATAGACCATGAAACTGTCGCAGACATTGTTGCGGAGACCCTTCACAACAACATCGCCAGCGTCACTCAACAGCCAAAGTTCAATCTTGAGCTCAAATGGTAAAAGGGTCTCTTTGTTGGGGTACCAAAGCCTCAGATTTCTACGTTGCGCTTGCAGCAACTCAGGACCCGCCGTTTCTTCATCTACGGTGAATCCTTCTCCGCCGCTTGTTGCTTCCGATTCTGGTTTTGATTCTGTTGCAACTCATAACTTGGTAGGGAATCTGGAAGGCATAGAGGAAGGCATTGAGAAGGTATGAGTTTAGCTTGCTGGGGTTCCTTCTTTGTGATAAGCTTTTGGAATCATTGATTTGGTTATTATTCTAAATCTTACTTCATGAATATAGCCTTAGTTATTACCTTTGAATGGTTTTGAAACTGGGTACTTCTTTGTCTGATTTTTTTGTGTTTTGGTCGATGAATTTTGTAGGTGATTTATAGATGCCGGTTTTTGGCTATTCTGGGAGTCTTTGGGTCTTTAATTGGATCATTTATTTGTTTTATCAAGGTATGGTTTTTAAACTTTGTTATTTACTTTGTCATGGTCATGGTTGTCATTTGTATAGTATCTGATCAAATTTACCAAAATTATTGTACGCTTTAATGCCATATTGGTTAGAATAGTCTCATAGATGAAGCTAAAAAAAAAAACAAAAAAAACAAAGAAGACTACCGAAATCTTTTTGTGTACACCTTAAAGCGGAGATGTATGAAGAGGGAGCTGGTAAAGTTGCTTCTTTGTGACTGAAAGGTCATGGGTTCGAATCCGAGAAAGAATCTCTTTGCAAATATACAAGATAAGATTGCATATATGGATTGTCATTGTTTAGGGGCCAGAAAGTGACCACAATTTAGTATTCTAACCTCCTTGTGAATTATAGATTTTACATGCAAATTCATCTGATAAATGGCATATGCTGATAAAGATCAATCAGACTTAGGGCCTGTTTGGATGGGCTTTTTTCCCTCCAAAAGCTACTTTTTTTAAGAAAAAAAAGCACTTCTCACTTTAAGTTCGTCTGGATGCCTGTTTTAAAAAAAAACAGAAGTCACAAAAAAAGTTAAAAACCTACTTTTTTTAGAAGCTAAAAATTTTAACTTCTAAAAAAAGCAAAAGCCAAATATTTTTTTCAAAAACTAAATAGCTTTAAATTTTGTAAAAAGCACTTTTAAAATAAGGAAGACATAAAAGTTACTTTTAACAAACTGGCTCTTAATCATCCTTGATCTTTTATGTATGGATTTTATTCTTAGGTCTTAATTTGACATGCCGTCATTCATCTCATTTGCTCAAAAAGGAAATAAATAGTACGTGTGAATTTAGGATTTTATAGGTTTAGATTGTAATTGATTCTTATTGTTTTCCTTCATTCAACAAAACTAATACAACCACTGCTACCAATTCCATTAGAAACGTCGCAATGGTCCTGCTGATTGCTGAAGCATGTTTCTCAGCCAATCCATAAGTACACGTTAGCCTTGATCCTTTATTTAGATTAAAAGTAAAATGAGACTAGCTGCTCACTTAGTTCCTTGGTTCAATTTCGTCCCAACTAAATAACAGTATATGAGCCCCGCAAAATTTTGGCTTTGCTAAAGACAGATGATATAGATAGTGCTTGGTCACTGGCCTGCATACATCTTATGAATTTTGATGGGGTGATTCCAGCATCCTTGCATGGAAATATTGTTGATTTCTTAATATTTCATTTCAATTATAAAAATCTATACAAACAGCATCTCTTGTATCTATGTGTGCTTCCCTTGTACCATTCAGACCTATATGAGGAGATGAAGGCATCTGCGGAAAAAAAACATGGTGGGAAGAGTTGGGGACATGGAAAGTTGGGAAGAATAAAGGAAAGTTTGTATATTTGCAATTTGAAAATTTAAGTAACTTTATGCTTAGATAGATAATTGAATTGCCCAAATTGGTTGAGTTAATTGTTTCAGTTTTAAGAAATTAATTACAATGGTTATGCTATGTCTGATGAATTTCGTTTTAATGCATAATTCTATTTTATTGACCCCTTAACACGCAGGGCTGCACAATTGTTGCAGAGTCATATTTGGAATACTTTGTAAACCGCGGTAAAGTAATCCAAATGCTGATAGACTCTATTGGTAAGTGTCTCTAAAGTTAAACTCCTATAAGTTTGTGCAGTTGGCTTCTTCTTATCCTATGTCTTCATTATATAGCATATTATTCTTCGTTTAATCATTGTCCTTGGTGATAATAACATTAGTCCTTGTCGTCATTGAAATTAAATTGGTAGAATTCCATAAAAAGGGCATTTTGGCATAATGTTAAATAAGGCCTTAGGCACATACTATAACAGAATATGACTCAACTTGACCAAATTTTACAATTACAGAACCAAAATATTTTATATCTGCCAACTTTTTTCAATGTGTTTTTTGTGAACCTGTATTTGACTTTGTGTAAAGAACCACTTCAACCCAAAACCTTAAGGTGTTGGGTGAGGGCCTTTTTAATGATTTATATTATTCTCTAACACACCCCCTCACGCAAGAGCCCTTTGGGCTAGAAGCGTGGATATTGCACAGGCCCAATTTTTGGTTTACCTTTTGTGCTTTTTATTTTAATTCCACTTTAAAGTGGGGGGCGGTGAGGATCGAACTTGTGACCTTGTAGTCACTCAAGCTCTGATACCATGTTATGAACGTAAAACTTAGTGTATTTCATGAATCTGTCATCTAAATATTACATGAACGTATCGTTACATATATACACTCTCTGATACAAGAGAGGAAGTAAAAGCACTTAAGAAACTAACTAACAGTATACAACTAATCTCCTAAAAATTAGGAACCAATTAACAAACTCCACGTCAGCTAGTTAAACTAAAACGCATGCAATATTACAAGTCAAGTAGACGTTGCATTAGTAGACGTTTTATACTTCAACACCCCCTCACAAGCTGGACGGTGGATATCACGAAGACCCAGCTTGGCAATGATGGAATGGAAGGAGGATGGATGTAGTGCTTTTGTAAATACGTCAGCCAACTGATCAGCAGAGGCAACAGGAAAAAGACGTAGCAATCCAGCTTGAAGCTTCTCTCTGGTAACATGGATATCAATCTCTATATGCTTAGAACGTTCATGTAACGTTGGATTCTTGGCAAGAAAAATGGCGGAAACATTGTCACAATAAACGTGCGCAGCAGTGGTGCAAGGTATACAAAGATCGCGAAGGAGGAAAGTGATCCATTGCAGTTCACAAGTCATTGAAGCCAGAGCTCTATACTCTGCTTCACTGGATGAGCGAGAGACTGTTGGCTGCTTCTTAGATCGCCAGGAAATCAAAGAAGAGCCAAGAAAAACGCATATCCCAGTAACAGATCTTCTAGTATCAGGGCAACATGCCCAATCGGAATCTGCAAAGCCACTCAATTGCAGAGAGTTCTGAGATGACAGGAACAAGCCAACACCAAGTGAACCTTTAATATACCTGAGAACACGATGAGCTGTTGTACGATGTGCATCAGTAGGGGCATTAACGAATTGACTGAGTTGTTGAACGGGGAAGCAAATATCTGGACGAGTCGTTGTTAGATATAACAAACGACCTATGAGCCGTTTGTATGAAGCAACATCTAACTCAGAAAGGGGTGTACCTTCAGTACGAGAAAGACGAGTAGAAGGTAGCATAGGAGTTGATAAAGGCTTGGCACCCAAGTAGCCAGCAGCAGACAAAATATCCAATGCATACTTACGTTGATTGATCACAATACCACTTATGTTTCGAGAAATCTCAAGACCCAAAAAATATCTTAACGGGCCTAAATCTTTAATTCGAAATTGGTTATCCAAAACAGTCTTTACATGATGAATTTCAGCAACACTATCACCAGCTAAAACAATATCATCAACATATATAAGTAAAGCTGTAAAGGAGCTATGATCATGTTTGATGAACAAAGAATGGTCAGCTGTGGATTGAATATAACCAAGTGAAATCAACGAAGTAGACAATTTCGAATGCCACTGTCTGCTGGCTTGTTTTAACCCATAGAAAGATTTTCTCAACCTACAAACTTTGCCTGGAGAAGCTGTAACACCAGAAGGTAATTTCATAAACACTTCCTCATTCAAATCTCCATGTAGGAACGCATTGTTAACATCGAGTTGTTCAATCACCCAATTCTTAGCTGCAGCAACCGAAAGCAGCAATCTGACAGTGGTCATCTTGGCAACAGGACTAAAGGTATCAAAATAGTTTACCCCCTCCAACTGAGTATACCCTTTAGCAACCAATCGTGCCTTATATCGTTCAACAGATCCATCGGTCTTGTATTTCACTTTATAGACCCATTTGCATCCAATGAAATGTTTATCAGATGGGAGATCAACAAGATCCCATGTATGATTTAATGCCAAAGCAGATAATTCAACATTCATTGCATCTTGCCAGCAAGGAAACTTAGAAGCTTCAGCATATGACTTTGGCTCAACAACAGTAACCATATTTGAACAGAAACGAGTATATAATGGAGAACATTTATCATAAGACAAAATTTGAGAAAGGGGATAAGGAGTACCTGAAGAAGAAGAGAGGACAGTAGAAACAACATTGTTGCACTGAAAATCCATGAGGTAACTTGGTCTTTTCTTTGGTCTGGATGAACAACGAATGGGAACAATAGGTATTGGAGAAGATGTTGGAACATCAGTAGTTTGGTCACAAGGAACAGCAGGAACAGGTGATGGGTTACTAACAGTAAAGGGATCATAAAAAATAACAGGTGGTGGGCAAGGCAATATGGATGGTGAAACAAGATTAGGCACATTAATAGAATGTGAGAATGGAAATGTCAATTCATAAAATATGACATTACGAGAAAGAAACAATTTGTGAGAAGAAAGCTCAACCAACAAATATCCCTTGGTACCATCTTGATATCCAAGGAAAGCATATTTTTGGGCTCTAGGGGAAAATTTTGTGCGATGAGAATGAATGGTAGAGGCATTTAACATAAACAACCAAAGGATTTTAGATGAACAAGAGATGGTGGTTTAGAATGTAAAATTTCATAAGGGGTTTTGTATGCAAGTAGAGGTGTACATAGACGGTTGATGATGTATACTGAATGAGCAATAGCATAACACCAATATGACTTGGGTATGTTAGCTTGGAATAACAAGGCTCTAGCTACATTCATAATATGTTGATGTTTACGTTCTACTATGCCATTTTGCTCAAGTGTTTCAACACATGTGGTTTGATGGAAGATTCCTTTGGCCTTAAAAAACTCATGCACGAGGAATTCGGTACCATTATCAGTGCGAATGGATTTTACAGTAGCTTGAAATTGGTTTTCATGGAATGTAATACAATGTTGGATAGAACTACGAACATCGGATTTGTTCTTAATGAAGATGAGCCAAGTATAACGTGTATAATCATCAACAATAGAAAGAAAGTATTTATGTCCATGTACTGAAGCATTAGGTGTGGGACCCCAAATATCCATATGTAGCAATTCAAAAGCTTTATTTGATCGACTATTACTTGAACAGAATGGTAATTTCTTTTGTCTAGTAAAATGACATATAGCACATGGTGATACAGTTTTTGATGAAATAAAAGGAAACTTGACAGACATGTGTTTTAGGGTAGTGGGAGAAATGTGGCCTAATCTATACTGCCAAAGTAGGTGGTCATTGTTATCAGTACATGAAGTGGAATTACAGATAACAAAATCAGTAAAATTCGAGTAGTTGTTGGTCTTGAAACTTGGTGAAGAAGGTATGACCAAAGAAAAGCGACCTCCATCTTGTTTAGCTGTACCAATCTTCCTCTTGGTACTCACCTGCTTTATGAAACAAAAGGAATTAGAGAAAACAAGATAACAATGCAACTTGGACATTAATTTTGTGACTGAAATTAGATGGACTTGGAAGTTTGGGACATATAGCACATCAAACAGTATTAAATCAGAAGAAAAATGGACATTTCCTGCATATGATGCAGTGACTCTTGAACCATCAGGCAGATTTATATGCACAAAGTTAATTTTATGAAATGAAGAAAGGCTAGAAAGTGATGATGTAATATGATCAGTTGTGCCAGTATCAAGGATCCAACGCAACTGAGTACCTGAATTATAATTGTTTGTTTCTGCACTTAATGCAGATGTGGACACAAGATTAACATGACCAGTGGTATCTGTATTGAGTGTTGGTGTAGATGCAGGGTTTGTGTGAAGAAAGTCCTTTGAAGATTGTAAAGCTTGTACCAGTTCATGAAACTGTTGATTAGACAAAGTCATCGATGAAACTTCTTTGTTTCGATCTGCACATTCAGCTCGCGTGACATTGTTTGCAGTGGATGCATCATTCCTCCTCTTATAGCCTAGAGGAAAACCATGCTTAAAATAACAGGTTTCAACAGTATGATTGTCCATCTTACAGTGAGTGCAAAATCTTGAATCACGTCCTCTTCCTCTTCCTCCTCTATTGCTGAAACGTCCTTTGCCTCTATTTGTAGGAAAACTCCTTCTATTCTCATCTGATTCACTTATAAACACCTTCGAAACATCATCAATATTCAGATTCAGATGAAACTCTCGTTCCTGTTGAGCCAGCATTGAACACCTTATTAACATCTGGCAAAGGATTGATCAGCATAATTTGGGATCGTACATGAGCATACTGCTCATTTAGCCCCTTTAAAAATCTTATAGTCTGATCCTGATCCCTTCGAACTCGTATCTCAAGTAAAGCTGGACAGTTACAAGCCATAGCGCATTGGCAAGTAGGCATTGGCCTCAGATTTTCTAACTCATCACACAGACTCTTCAAATGAGTAAAATAATCGCTTATGCTTTTGTCACCTTGTTTCATCCTGTAAATATCTTCTTGTAGATCTGAAATTCTGAAGATATCTGCTTGCGAAAAACGTTCTTTTAGATCTTTCCAAGCATCCTCTGCTCGATCTATCCAGAGTATCGATTGCAAAATTGATGGAGAAATTGAATGATGAATCCACGATAGTACAGTAGTATTACAACGCTGCCATGCATTGAACTGAGGATCCATGGTTGGAGGTGGTTGCAAGCTTCCATCGATGAAGCCAGTTTTTTTTTTTGACAGCAACGCCATGGACATGGCTCGAGACCATACATGATAGTTCTATCCATCTAGTAAAACAGAAACTAGAACTTGCGATGGACTTTCACTGGGATGAAGGAAGTATGGATGAGAGGGATTTGTAACAAAATCAAAAGTCATACTCTGATTCGCCATTGTTGAAGAACTCAAAGAAAATTGGAGAATCAGAGCTTCTTGAGTATTTGACTTTGTAACTAGAAACTTGAAGAGTATCAGTATTCTATTTTCCAATTACTATGGAAAATAGTTTGTGCATATGTTCAATCCATATATGAATAAAATAACCTTAACTTATCCCAGGGCAGCATATATATCTATATATGTTCATGTGTATACATGGGCCTTTTCTATAGGATAGAGTTGTATTTTGGGATAACCCGTGGGTTTCCATCATGAATTTCTTTAGAGGTTTTACCTAAAGGGCCTGGAAAGCTCTTATAAGATATTTTCATTTTTCTTTTATTTCTTATTTTGTATATGTATTTATGTTGTTCTACGAGGATTTCTTATCTTTTCTTTGTGCTTCTCTTCTTTCTAACTTCTACTTTATTGTTCATCCAGATGTCTATCTTTTAGGAACTGTGATGCTAGTCTTTGGAATGGGTCTCTATGAGCTCTTTGTCAGTAATCTTGGTAGTTCAAGCTCTCTGCCAGATCAAAACCCTTCTGACAGATCAAATCTATTTGGTTTATTCACTCTAAAGGTTAGCTTTGGGACATTCTGTTTCTTGATCAACCTTATCTAAGTCAGCAGGATTTTATATTCTACGTATTGCTACTGGCTACGGCCTCTCGTTTGCATTTAGGCCATTTGAAAGAAACACGGAAATGAAAAAGTTGTACTGAACTAAATGTAGGGAGAGACATGCAAGATGTAGAATTACTTTTATGGAAAGTTAAAAAAATAAAAATAAATAAATTTAACACAGATGGGTAATCAAACGATTCAGGAATGTTTTCAGTCATCGTTCAATCGGTCCATTATATGCAGTGGTTTGTAGTGTGCTAAAAAGATAGTTACTGTTAGTTGAAATCCTCCAAGGTTATTTACTTTTAGGTGACCCTTTCATGGGCCATCGGCTTTGTGGTACATTTTTTACCGGTATTTGGAGCTTTGTTCCAGTGGAGAGCACTAGTTGTGTATTAATGCAATGCAACTGTAAAAGTTTTTATTATTACTACTGTAGTTAGAGACTTGTTGGTAGATAATTATGTGAACAGATTATGATCCATTACTATAAATATTAAATAGATATTAATGGATAACATGGTAAATTTAGCATTCCGTAGCTACAGAAATTTGGTATTTCTTGGTTCTAAACTTAAATTCTACTAGCTTGTGTTCCTAAATACCGGAAATTCCTCAATAATATCGATGTACCCGAGGTTGCAAGCTCATGGCCTTCGTAGTGTACTCCTGTTTACCTGCCCAAATATCACACTGTCTCAGGATCTTCTTTTTCTTTATAAACTTTCTTTTGATGTTAGTTCCTCTATGTTGTTTTTTTCCTTTTCAGGAACGACCAAAATGGCTGAATATAAAAACTGTCAATGAACTAAAAACCAAGCTTGGTCACGTCATAGTAATGCTACTTCTGATTGGGATGATTGACAAAAGTAAGAAGGCTGCTATACACACTCCTGTGGATTTGCTATGCTTCTGTGCTTCCGTCTTTCTTTCTTCTAGTTGCCTCTTTTTGCTGTCTAAGCTCAATGAATGAGGCTAAATGGTGTTTACATCCATGTTTCAATGTCAGCACTGAAAGAAAGTAAGGATAAGAACTGATATACACGCATAAAAAAATGATAATCTTCTAGTATTTATTATTACATTGTATATACATGCAGTTATCTTGACTTCATTCCTTTGTTGTGCTTTTGTATCACTTAACCAATCGCCTTATTTGAAGGCTTCGAAGTTGCCCCTCCTTCCTTAACTGGGCCGAAGAATATTTATTAAAATGATAACAGCAGGCCATAAAGGGATAAATAAATTAAAACCTATTTGAAAAACATATGAATAATTTTATTTTATTTTATAAATAAATTGCCCCTCTTTTCTTTTGCGGGGTATGTTGATCGACTTCCACCTTTATTAGGGGGGAAGGAACTTGATGAAAGAGAGATGAATAGTAAAAGGACTATAATAAATCAAAAGGGAAATGTTACTTACACATTATGAAGTTAATCATTGCCCTGTATGAGGTTATATTTGGACCTAACCCAAGTCATGCACTCCCAAAGTCCTACCCACAAACCTTGGTTGTGGTATAGATTGGGAAATTCTTGTATTCACTTGGGGCACACAAGTTGTGTACATTAAGCTAATCAATGTTAAGAAATTGTGAAATAATTTTTTGTAACACATGTTTTACACATCAATATCAATATTACTTTTATCTCAAATTAATTAGGATCGGTAGTAGATAAATATAAATGAAAATTATGAAAAACACATGTTTTATATTTTGAAGTAATAATGCATTAGTTGTTTATTAGGCTAAAATACACAAGTGGACTCAAGATGTCCAAAAGAACCTTTGATCTCATGTAGACAAATTTACCATAATCCGTTTGAAGTACAACACTGTGCTCTTACGTCAAATACGTTTGGCCTTTTGTTTCAAACATACGAATACTAAACGCAATTCATTCAACCAAAAATAAATAAATCACAATTCATTCAACCAAGTGGCATAGCCGGAGTTTGAGTATTATGTTATGAATTCCCAAGCAACTTTCTTAATCTGTACGTGGTCATTTTCATTTCTTTCTCCGCTCTCTTTCCTTTGCACCTCGAGCATTGCACCATAACCATTATTCATGCACCCACTTTGGTGTTTGGAGTTTGGACATTTCTTTTTCTTCTATATAGTCAAGTTGGGCACTCATCACTGCAAAGTCTGATGAAAAACAGAAAGAACATTTGTCTAGTTATATGTGCAATGCTCTCAGGTAATGCCCGTTTAACTTCATCAGCAATAGTTGTAGAGATTAAGATCATTCATCATTACAAGAAGACAAAGTTGCACCCCAATTGTGCTGTTCACAGATAAAAGTTGAATTGTTCACTGTACGGCAAGCAATATATATAGCTCAAAACATAGCCAGCCTCTAATTAATAAATATTTTTTTAATTAATTAAAAGTAAAAATTTAATTTATATTCAATTGTTAAAAAAGTTCCAACCTCCTTAAAGCTTCAACTCTATAAACTTTTCCACTTGTTCAAGACACAAATGAATTATAGCAACTGCACTGAGTTCTTCATCTGCATATGTCTGCTTGTATTTTATGTTTGTTTCTGTGTGCAGCAGTGGACCGCGCCACCCACTAACTAAGAGCAATCATATGATGAAAATTGTCCAAGGATATCATCACATATGATTTTATTTTCATTATTAGTATTGAAAATATTTTTAGTGTGAGTAGCGGTGAAATCCCATGCACGTTAGTTAAAAATGAATTAAGTGAGTATCATATAAGTATAAAAGACTAATATACCTATAGCTTTAAGATTTTGAATTGATTATTATGATTTGTCATTTCGTTTATTGATAGTGGTATAACCTTTCAAGCTCTAGACGGGGACAGTTTGATTGTGGAACTTCACTTGTATTGTTTTAGATTATCTCATTTTCTGTTGTGTGCCCCTATCATTGGTTTCCATAAAATAGAAACAAAAGTTTTCGTCGTATCTGTTCCTAGAAAATTAAAACAAAAGCTAGTTTTAACTGGTAGCTAGATATATCAGGGAAGAAATGGATGGTTCCTGAGTTTTGAGTTTTGACAGAGAGGATAAATTGTGATAATAAAAACAAATAGACATTTCTCTTGGACAATGGAGGTTCTATTATTATCTTGAATTTACATGAGAACAACAGGCCACTATATTTAGGAATATCAGAGGAAGGTAAATTCTAAATAATAATAAAAGGAAAGTTATATTTACAAACTTCTTCTTTACAAATTTTTACAAACTACAATATGTATTAGAGGTAGTACATTCCAGCACGCAGTGTATTACCCATAATACATAATGTAGTTTGTAAGATTATTTTTTTTTGTAAATATAACCTCTCCTAATAAGAAAAGGTTTTGCAATGAATCTTTTTCTTTTTTAAAAATGCAGTATGCCGGGATGGAGTATTTTAAAAAAATAAAATAATTTCTTGCTATAAATTATTCAATACTATTAAATGATATTGATCGTTTTCTTTTTGACACGGATTGGTTTAGCTAATACAATTAAACAACTAGCTGAAACATGTTGCATATTCTGTTGGGAAATTCGTTCCCTCAAACTCCAATGTCAAGCGGGTCCAGGGGAAGCCCGTGGCAGGGGGCCACCACCAATGAGCTAAGGCTACACCAACCGTAGCAAGTGGATTCGACACCATGTCTCAACCCAAAACCTTAAGGCATTGGGTTCATGGGTCCTTTCACTTATATACTTTTCACTTAGCTCATTACCAACCAATGTGGGACTCATCACACTTGAATATCTCAACAATCTCCCCCTCAAGTGTGAAACCCACCATTGGTATGCTCCCCCCCAACTGAGTACCCAAAGCGCAAAGTACTCGACCCGCCTCCTAGCCAATCACTAGGCTAGCTCGAGCCCAATCCGGCTCTGATACCACTATTGGGAAATTCGTTCCCTCAAACTCCAATGTCAAGCGGGTCCAGGGGAAGCCCGTGGCAGAGGGCCACCACCAATGAGCTAAAGCTACACCAACCGTAGCAAGTGGATCCGACACCATGTCTCAACCCAAAACCTTAAGGCATTGGGTTCATGGGTCCTTTCACTTATATACTCTTCACTTAGCTGTTGGGAAATTCGTTCTCTCAAACTCCAATGTCAAGCGGGTCCAGGGGGTTGTTCAATAAATATTTGTTCCTCTAAGTACCCATGCAAGAATGCCGATTTGACATCTAGCTGGTAAATAGGCCAAGAATTTTGTGTAGCCAATGCAACCACCAACCTGATTGTATCATGTCTCGCAACAGGAGAAAAAACTTCTGTATAATCAATCCCATATTGTTGCTTGTACCCCTTGACAACCAAGCGTGCTTTGTGCTTGTCAATTTCACCATTTTCCTTTAACTTTGTTTTAAACTCACACCAATGATTTTGTGTCCATTTGGAAGATCAGTTAACTCCCAAGTATCATTCCTCTCAATTGCATCAATTTCAGCATCCATTGCTTTTCGCCATTTTTCTTCTTTGACAGCACTCTCAAAAGTCACGCGATCACATTCTGAAAACAAAGCAAAGTGAGTAATTGGATCTTCAATTCCAGTTACCTCATAATCTTCCATCCAAGCAGGCCTTCTTCTAACACGACGAAGAGATTGAGTTTCTTCTTCGTCAACTCCAACTACTGTTGGTGAGGATTGACTAGCTGAAGAAGTTGCAATAGACGAATTTTCAGGCATACTAGATGCTGAAATTTGCTCTTGTTCAGAATCAATATCACAAAGAACTTCGGTAGGCTGCTGCATATTCCAATCCCAAGTGTTTTCTTCATCAAAAACAACATCCCTGCTAACCACAATTTTTTTCGTCAGTGGATTAAATAATTTATATGCTTTAGATGTATCACTTACACCTAGAAAGACACATTTTTCAGCCTTGTCATCAAGTTTTTTTCTTTTCTGATCCGGGACAAGAGCATATGCAATGCATCCAAAAATTCTAAAGTGATCCACATTTTTGAAATGACTGATCTTGGTATGATGCATTACTTTCTTGGCATAAGTGTAGCACAATCAAGTGATGGAATTTTTATTTCTCAAAATAAATATGTGGAAGATATTCTAGACAGGTTTTAGATTAAGGATTGTAATCTTGTGCACACTCCAGTTGAATGTGGCTTGAAGTTACATAAAGATCATGGAGGAAAGAAGGTTGACAGCACCTTCTACAAACAAATTGTGGGAAGTTTGATGTATCTCACTACAACAAGACCAGACATAATGTATTCTGTGAGTTTAATTAGCAGGTATATGGAAAATCCTACAGAAATACATTTGTTGGCTGCCAAGAGAATCCTTCGATACTTGCAAGGAACAAGAACTTTCGGGATATTTTACAAGAAGGGTGTAAAATCTGATTTAGTGGGATTTACTGACAATGATTATGCAGGAGATCAAGATGACAGGAAGAGCACATCAGGTTATGTTTTTATGATTGGTACAGGTGCTATTTCTTGGGCATCGAAGAAGCAACCAATTGTCACTTTGTCAAGCACAAAAGCTGAATTTGTTGCTGCTACAGCTTGTGCATGCCAAGCCATTTGGCTAAGGAGAATTCTTGAAGAACTTCACTTCAAGCAAGAAGGAGCAACTTTAATTTATTGTGACAATAATTCTGCAATTAAATTGTCAAAGAATCCAATTTTACATGGGAGAAGCAAGCATATAGATGTGAAGTATCATTTCTTAAGGGATCTTACAAAGGCTGGTATAATTGATCTTATTTTTTTGTAGAAGTGAGGATCAAGTTGCTGATTTGTTTACGAAGCCTCTCAAATATGTTGCGTTTCAAAAGCTCAGGGGATTACTTGGCATATGTTCCATGGAGAAAGTCAAAGGATTTGGAGTAAACTGAATTTTTCAAGAACATCAGCTTAAGGGAGGGAATGTTAGAGTCTCTTTGTTTTTTGTCCGTTAGAAAATTCAATGGTCTTTTAAGTTTGATGTAACGGCCATGTGCTGCACTAAAGTTGTTTGATGAGTCTTAATGGTATCATAATGGGTCAGTTTTGGGTAGTATAATGAGTCATTAAGTTAGAGTTTATTTGGGTGTAATGTGTCTCTTAATGTTATGTTTTTCAGTTTTAGTTTCTGATTTATATTAAGTTTGAGTCAGTTTATGAAATTTGTATTCCCTCTTCAAACATTGTGAGTTATATTTCTGCATCTTAATTTTTCTCTATCAGATCCGCCTCCTAGCCAATCACTAGGCTAGCTCGAGCCCAATCCGGCTCTGATACACGGATTGGTTTAGCTAATACAATTAAACAACTAGCTGAAACATGTTGCATATTCTGTTGGGAAATTCGTTCCCTCAAACTCCAATGTCAAGCGGGTCCAGGGGAAGCCCGTGGCAGGGGGCCACCACCAATGAGCTAAGGCTACACCAACCGTAGCAAGTGGATCCGACACCATGTCTCAACCCAAAACCTTAAGGCATTGGGTTCATGGGTCCTTTCACTTATATACTCTTCACTTAGCTCATTACCAACCAATGTGGGACTCATCACACTTGAATATCTCAACAATCTCTCCCTCAAGTGTGAAACCCACCATTGGTATGCTCCCCCTCAACCGAGTACCCAAAGCGCAAAGTACTCGACCCGCCTCCTAGCCAATCACTAGGCTAGCTCGAGCCCAATCCGGCTCTGATACCAGAGTTGGGAAATTCGTTCCCTCAAACTCCAATGTCAAGCGGGTCCAGGGGAAGCCCGTGGCAGAGGGCCACCACCAAAGAGCTAAGGCTACACCAACCGTAGCAAGTGGATCCGACACCATGTCTCAACCCAAAACCTTAAGGCATTGGGTTCATGGGTCCTTTCACTTATATACTCTTCACTTAGTTCATTACCAACCAATGTGGGACTCATCACACTTGAATATCTCAACATATTCTGACCTTGACATGGAGTAACTTTTCCTTCTAAAATTTCATTTATAAAAGAAGAACAAAAAGTTAAATTTAATTTTGGGTCATACGAAACATTTTTTGTTTAATTATTGAACCATTTATTCTATAATTACAGAAACCTCATACAATAGTTATACTAAGGGGAAGCTTAAAAATGAAAAGGAATGTATAAAAAACTAAAAGTCACGTTATTGTTGTTCACACAATCACACCTTCAGCTGAAATCATCATTTGCTTTAAGCAACCTAACTTGATTTTGCTTTTGGCTTGTATACCCTGATTTCGTTTTCTGCTGCTGTACTTTTACAGCGAAAACAAAGATAGAGAACTCTATTTATAAAGAACTTGAAAGTCCCAAGATCCTTGATATTGAGTGCCACTATTATCGTCTGCGAGGGAATTTGCGAGGAAAAGTAGTAGCGAGGATGAAATTAGCGACAGAATTTTCATAGCAATTCCCTCGCTATACAAGATTTTTCTAGTAGTAATTCGATGTATATTGAGGGACAACATAAATATAATATAACACAAGTGATTGAGTTATAAGTCAATTTTTTGTCAATGAAAATATTTGTGATATCCATTGTTAGAATAAAGTAAAATTTATTATACTATCACTTGTGCTATGCATTGTTTTATGCACAATAATGCTGGGATAATGAAATGGTAGAGGTTATTATCCCTTTCTCTTTTTGTGAGATAAGATTTTATAACTTAATTTATTGATTAACAAAAATTTATGTTGTTTATGTTGAATTTTTTTTTATGGACTACCATAATGGGGTAATTTTATTTTATAAAATTAGACTGATAATATGGTTGGTTAATTTTTAAGAAACATGCACCATAATCTCATTTATGTGTTATATTTGCAGTTAGATCCCCTACCACTATTTCTAAAAATTATATCAAAATGATACTCTATTAGGTCAATAAGATATAAAGATCTTTAGGCTTCTTCATCCTTACTTTGTCTCTTGAAAAACAACTGCCCTATCTGAGAAGTGGTGGAAGACCTTGCTTTTGTTTAGTGTGATTACGGGTATCCACTACTTATGACTAACACAAATATGAACCTTGAATTATTGGTGTTCTAAAATTCAAATAATTTATGAACTAATTCTTCCCCGTTATTGATATGTTTTTCTCTAATACTTATACTATTTAAACAATTAAAGAAAGTGTAATTTATTTTTTACTCTACAATTTCTTAATTTCTAACAAATCAAAAAGTCACCTTCATTCTCATAAAAAATTATTCTAATAAGAAATCAAATATTTCAAAGGTATCGTCTTTAATTTTCACATTTTGCGTGATCACTCACTACTTAGAACGGAAACGATGCCAAATGTAAGTCTAGATAACCGCACATTAAATTAAGTCACCCACTTTATAACAAATTTGCAACTTGATTTCAACAACATTATAATACTCGCCGAAGAATCTGACGCCTTGTTGTAAAGCCAACTTCGGGAATCCTAGATTTAGCTATTACGAGGTGACTTGGCTTACAGATCCTAGTTGCTACTACATTACTAGTTTCCTTTATTTTTAAGGAAAGCGCACACGTACGGAGGATTTGATAGAGAAATGATTTGTTTGATACCACTAACAGACTCACCTGTTGCTGTTGCTGAGCATAAAATCTGAGCCATTGAATGAATCCAAATCCTGCCACGTAATTATATAAATGATTTGTATAAAATCGTGGGAAATAGTATAAGGCCAAAAAGCTAAAGGAAAACGTAACCTTTTAATAGGATCACATGGTTCTGATTAAGTAGTGCTTCCAGGCATGCGATTGGGTAAGCAAAGAAAGTAGAATTAAAAAGTTCCGTTCCCAATGATGTCTGTTATAAGCCTAGGATATATATTGTAACATCCCAACGGCTGATGAGGGCGGGGAGTAATCGCCGGTGTAAAGAGGCACGGATAATGAGCGGCTTCTGACAGGCTTTCAGCGTGGGGTTACATGCATGAATGAATCGAATCGACACCCGAAAGAGAGATTCTAAAGACTGTGCAGGTATGAGACTGCACAGTTTGGGATAACTTATAAGAATTAATTGGTACTACCTATGCTAACAAGATGCATCTGCTTTTCGGTAGCCCGAAACAGAAGAACTTCATAGTTAAGTGTGCTTGACTTGGAGCAATTCTGGGATGGGTGACCTCCTGGAAAGTGTGCGAGTGAGGAAAAAGTACACTGAAAAGTCTCGTATTAGTATGTGGGGATAGTCGTTGATTCTTGAAGCGGCCGGGCGGTACATATATCATCCTACTACCCATAGCAGACAAAATTAAAGTTGCCAAATTTTAAATATGCTAAGCATGAGAAACGGTGGCTTCATTTTTTATTATAACAGTAGAATAAGTGCGTGAAAGGTTTGACCCCTGTGTGAAAATGGAATCAATTTATGAAAAAAGTTTAGGCATGAACCATGTTTGGAGCCTAGCTAGGTGGAATGCCAAACATTGGCTTTTTTTATTTTTTATTTTATTTTTAATACAATGGTGGTACTACCTATGAACTCATTCAAATTATCTAAATCCCTTACCACTATATCAATTTTAGTGATTTCTTTAAACTTTGTTACATCTCATTGTGGTGCTTATATATGTTATATGTTAGAGTAAATATAACATTGTTACAGCTAATTACTCAACTTGTTACTATTGTTTAGTTAGTCCATAATTGATTAAATGTGTGTGTTAGTTATTAGCTACTTGTCTTCAAAAGATTGGATGTATTTGTGAGATATAACTCTTGTAACTTTCCACTCAAGTGTGGTGGCTCAGTTGGTAGGATTGAGTGGTGGGAGAGGATCCCAGTTCGAATCTCACCAACACCATCTGGGGAGGAACATAAGTACCGTAATCCTTGGACTCGCACCCGAACTCTGTATTAGTCCTATAGGCTTCTCAAAGAGTCAAATCCGTGGGATACCAGGAGATTTTAATTCGCCTTAAAGAGATAATTAGGATCAATTTCAAAAAAAAAAAAAAAACTCTTGTAACTTCCCAGTTAAATGCATCTGTGAGTGAAATTAGATTGAATAGAAAAAGCAAGCCCTGCATCTTTGTTTTTCCTCAGATTTTTGGGCCTACCTTGTACTCAGTGAGAGAGAGAGCAGCAGAAAGGGAGGGATTCAAATATAAGTAGTTAAGTCTTACATGATTATAAATATGCTAAATGATGATTATATAAAGTAGAAGAATTCATAAATCTAATATCTTAAAATTTTTGGTCGAGATGTGATATTGATCGAATTCTTTATTGTGGATTTGTTACTTAAATCTATTTGACATGTGAATGATAATCTCTTCTAATTTGCATTTCGCATAGCGCAAGACCGTATTCATGTTTAATTTTTTTAAAAAAAATATACTATGAGAATAAATTCTGTAGAGCCTCCCATCTCTTAATCATAAGAGTTCGAAGAGTCTATATTCCATAATTCTGAACTTCTCCAAATTGAGTAGGTGTATTATGAATTACCAAAAATAGGGTGGTCTTAAACTTCAAGCAAAGTGACAATGGAGAATCATTCATGCGCAATATATAACTCCCTCCAAATTTTCGTATTAGATGTCTGCATCAACTAACGATCATTTACTTAGTGGAAGAAGCATTTTCTTCATAAAACTTAGTAACTTAAATCATATCGCAGAAATCCCACTTAAGACTAATTAATTATAACAAAATCAGAAAGTAGCTATATTAAAGTCAATTTTTCTTAGTGTGGTCTAATCAAGATCAATGCCCTCTAATTTAAAATCACTAGTGAGCATTCAAATCAATTGTTGTATGGAAACTTTAGG